AAAAATTTGCTGGGTAAAACATAAAGGGCCAGAGTGATTCCTGTCCACTAGGAACTCCATTTCTCATTTTTAGATCATTCTCCTTATTCCTCCTCAGTGGTTCCGGAGCCTGCCTCGCAAGCACAAGGTCCCAAGTTCGATCCCCGGTACAAAAAAAAAAAAAAAAAAAAAAAAAATTTGCTGGGAGCCAAGTGTACTGGCACATGCCTGTCAGTCCAGAACTTCAGGAGGTTGAGGCAAGAGGACTGCAAGTTCAGGACCAACCTGAGCAACCTGGCAAGAATGTGTCACAAAATAAAAACTAAAAAGGGTTGGGGAGAGCCGGACATTTAACTCAGTGGATTCGCCGCCTGCTGCGCAAGCGCAAGGACCCACGTTCAATCCCCGGTACCAAAAAAAAGAAAGAAAACAGGGTTGGGGAGGTAGCTCAGTGCAAAGGCCCTGGATGCAGTCCCCAGCACCACTTGGTCTTGATGAAATTCAATCAACAAAATGATCCAACTGTCAAGTTCAGCCTAAAACAATTACTCAAAATTAGTAGCTATTACAGCAGTCAGGAGGCCTACCTCGACCGCCCGCAGGACATCTCTGAACACGGACCGCTGCTTTCTCTTGTCCACTTTGGCCCGGTGTTTATTTCCATCTGTAGCCAAAGCCCTCAGCATCTGGGTCAAAGATTCTATGTCTTCATAAAAGAAGTCCTGGGCAGGAAAAGAGAAGCAAGTTTGCTTTACTGGTTTCTTCTTTTACAACCTCTTGAGTCCACAAACAACAGCCCAGGTTTCTCCCAGCGCTCTGGGAGGCTGAGGCAAGAGGATGGAAACCTCGAGCCAGGCCCAGCCCGGAGCAACTGAGCAAGATCCTGTCTCCTCAAAGAAGTCACAGGCTGCTTCAGATGCAGCTCAGAGCGAAGACCTGGGTTCTATCACCAGTAGCCCAGGACCACCACCACCAAAAAAGAAGAGAAGGAAAAAAACCCCAAGAAGATTCGCTTATTTAGCTATCTAAAACTAGAGCTGATATTTCCACTACAAACCACAGGTTAGCAATCTCTAGTTTTAGTTGTTTGTATCTGACATTTGTTTGCAGTAGATGTAATAATCATTTAACTTACTCTATTAAAATAAGTAGCTCTCCCCCGATTTTCTTAGAATTGTACACATAATTACATAACCTGTAAATTAAGATTGCTGTACAGTTGGAAAATTAAGCTTGAAATTAGTGAGACAGTCTTGCTTCGAAATATATAAACTGCCTTACTGTTAGTATTTCAGACCCCATATTCTGAACCGTTCCAACAAATGTTTTCCTCAAGTGTGCCAATTTAATCTATGTCTACGTTAGAGACAACACTAATTTAAAAATCCATTATACGGATAAATAAACCAAAAATCTAATGTTATCTTAACTGGTTTTAAGAACTGAGGACCACTGCCAGTGATTCCAACTGGAGATGATCTTACCGCCCAAGGGACATTTGGAGGTAGCTTTGGTATCGTAAGGGGGAGAGGGTGCTACTGGCACCCAGAGGATCGAGTCAGGATGCTGCTGAACGTTCTCCAATGTGTAAGACAGCCCCACTCTGCTCAAACACAAAAACTTATCCAGCCCAAAATCAGGGTGTTAAGGTTGAGAAACTCCAATATGATGTCAGCCATGGAAAACTCAATCCAGTTTATAGTAGTAAAGTACTAAAACTTAGAAAAAGAAATGTCTAACTTTTTAGGGAAAAGAATCCATAAAGCACTTGGGGCAAATAATATATAATATATATATAAAAAAGGAAGGACGGAAGAAAATGTAAAACATAGCCAAAAAAGCATTCAAAAGCCTTTTGATTGGAGTTTAGGGTAACTATATAATAAAACTGTATGCTCTGAGATAAAGAATGGGCTTCAGAGTACAAACAAACATCTTAACTCTCACTAAGCATGAAAAGAAAATAGCACAGTCATTATTATACAACAGGATCAGTGTTGGATTAGAATTTCAAATGTACTTCACACTACATTTCGATAATTGCAAAACTGTTTTATCTTAAAAAGAGAGTATCTACTTTCTTGCACAAAGGCTGAGGTATTAAATAAGATGATACTGAGCCAGGTGTGGTGGTACACGCCTATTATCCCAGCACTTCGGAGGCTCAGGCAGGAGGATCATAGTGAGTTTAGGGCCAGCCTGAACTACAAAGACAAAAAACTACAAACTCTGCCTCCAAAAAAAAATTAAAACAAAAAATGATAAATACAAACTGCCCAAGAAACATGAACTATTCACATCAATATTTCAGATTTAGAGGATTTTATACAAAACTTTTTTTCCTTTGTTTTTGGTACCAAGGATTGACTCAGGACCTTGAGCTTGCAAGGCAGGTACAGTGCTACTGAGCTAAATTCCCTGGCTCTAGAACTTTTTTTTTTTGGTACTGGGGATCGAACTCGGGACCTTGTGCTTGCGAGGCAGGCGCCAGAACCATTGAGCTAAATCCCTGGCCCTCTAGAACTTTTTAAAAAAAATCTGAGTAGCAAATTACACCTAGATGAAGCAGTTTAATGTCATATAAAACATGAGTTTTGCAGTAAGAACATCTAAGTTTGAATCACAAGCACCCAACCACTTAGATATGCACAAGCCTGGGTGTAATCACACTAGCCATCTGGGCCTCAGATGCATCTCATAAAATGGAAACAGTTGATAACAGCAGCATCTCACAGGTTTATCACACAAATTAAGTGAAATATTAAAAGCATATAAAACAGTATATCAACATCCATTAATGTATGACGGCTCTTACTGTTCTATACAGTCTGTTCAAACTAACACAATATACATTTGACAAACTGGTCGGCTAAAGACAATTGTTTCATACCAAAGTAACAACTATAATAAACTAAATGTTTCCAAAAGTTCAGTGGAATTAGGATGAAATGAAAGCACAGCAAGCTTTTGGAAGGGGCTGGCACAGTGGGGCACGCCTGTAACCTCAGCTACTCAGGAGGTGCGGGCTACATGGTGAGACCCTGTCTCAAAAACAAAACAAAACGATAAATTTTAGAAGATTAGGCTGAAATTGTTAAGGTCCGAAAAAGTCATTTCCAAAATTAGCATCGCTATACAGAACTCACTGGAGCATTAACTAAATAAAATGAAGTAAGCTGGTCTTGGATGGCTATTCTAAGGGTTATGAAATAAAAACCGTGGGCTGGGGCCAGGGATTTAGCTCAGTGGTTCCGCTGCTTGCCTAGCAAGCGGAAGGACCAGAGTTCGATCTCCAGTACCAAAAAAAAAAAAAAAATTATTTTGGGCTGGAGTACAGCTGGGTGGGAGAATGCCCACCTAGCAATTGCAAGGCCCTGAGTATCATGATCCCCAGCACTGTAAAAAAAACAGAAACAAAAATCTGATGGATGTCTAGCATTAAAATAGAATTTGATCCCTCCCCAATTCACCGCAAAGTGCTAAACATCTCTAGAATGGTTTTGTCTGACTCTACAAGCACAAAGACATTTCTTTCAGTTCTTGTTAATTAATCGTGGCAGAATACCTTCATCAAGGTATGGAGACATTTTTATTTTTACACAGGTCAGTTATCCTATAAACAAAGGTAAAAAGTAAGAATGCTAGAATTGCTCCTTCTGAAGTATGATATCTAAGTATGATATCTAATCATATCAGATTTAGTATGAGGAGTATGTTGTTAATCTTTGGGTGATTTTTTCCCTCTCTTTCCACACCGTGGGATTTCCCATCAGGCCAGAGGGGGCACAGGATAGGAGAACTGGGGAATACTTTCCATTTGTATATTTTTGAGGCAGTCGGCGGCACCATTGAGCTAAAACCCTGGCCCCTTAAAATAGAGCAGCATTGTACTTTTTTTGTTTTGGGTTTGGTTTTTTTTTTGGTACCGGGGATCAAACTCTGTGCTTGCATGGCAGGTGATGGCACCACTGAGCTAAATGCACGGCCTGTGTATTTCTGAGTCAGGCTTACACCAGCACCTCACACGCCTCCTGACCTGTAACTGTGCCCGCCTACCAGCCTCTCTTAAACTTCCCTACACTTCCTATTAAGGCCATTAGTAGACTCCTGCTGGAGGGGAGGAAGGCAAGGCAATTCCATGAAGCGTTACAGTAACGCTGTAATGTGACAGTTACCACTTACACTGTACCCCTGGATTCTCAACAACTCCCTGCAGCTGTTTTCTCCATTTTAAAGACAGTGAGGCATACAGAAGTTGCCGAACACCATCCAACCGGTAGGGGTACAAGAGAAATGAGAAACTAGACAGTGGGGGTGAGGACTCCAACCTCACCAACTTGGCATATGGCGAATACACACTGTAAGCTAGGAGAGCTCTCACAAGGGAGTAACAACTCCTGACTTCAACTTTCAACATGCAGTTATTAATATCTACCAGTCACTCTCAGAAGGACCCTAGAAAGAGTCAGCTCTTCAGAATGTTTTCCCAAGTTTCCAGGCAGAATTCATCACAATGCCAGATTTACAGGTTAATAACATCTCAAAGTTATGTTAGCAAAAGGCTCTGAACAAACTGAATACTACTCATTTGTTACAAGAACTCTATTTTAAATCTTCCTATGCATTTCATCAACCTCCTGATTTAATTTATTTTTCTTTTTTGTGACACTGAAGGTCAACCCAGGGCCTCTGTACATTAGGCAAGCACTCTACAACTGAGCTCCACTCCCAGGCCTCCCTGGTCTAATTAACTGTTAAACACTTTTAATTGCCCACATACACTGTAAGTATCCCCACTACTCACAAATCAGTTTATTTTAAAAAAAAAAATAGCAGACAAGGTTCTGTTTGTAAGCTACTTCATTTCTGCCCACGGACAAGGATTTAAGTCATATTAAACATGTTTGGATGAGTTCTCCTGGCTATCCTGTATGATTTATTAAGTCAGAAGACAAAGGTGCGTAGTGGTAATACGTTATGCTTACACACATTTCAACAAATTCAACATGCACAATTCAAACTGCATTATTACTTTTAAGATGCATTTCAAAGAAAAAAAATTACTGTTTCTACCCAGTAGAGAAACGCAAAATTAAAAATTGGGACATCTGGTTTCTGTGCCTTCAGGTAAAGGAGCCATTAACTAGCTCAGTAAAATTAAGTTAATTGCTAAATTTGAGTTTAATTTTCACATAAGAAGAATCATTAGCTACTGCATTAACTTACTTTCCATTCCTACCTGGTACCCTTCCAAAAAGGAGGGCAGGGGAGCTATACACAGATACTTCACACATACAAATTTTAAGAGGTCTAAAATAGAATGCAAAGGACTACATACAGTAGGTAATCCTATTTCAAAATATTCAGTTACCTAACTTTATTTGCATTCCATTCTGGAAATACTTTCTCCTTAGATTAAAAAAAAATCCACTAACTCAAGGTTAGGTAAACAGCTCTTAGCTGCCCATGTATTTGGAGTTTCTGACTGGATCCTTCCACTTGTCATCTGGACAGTAAGTACCTAAGGATTCAGTGCCTGAGACAAGTTTCTTGGACACAAGACCTTTGGTGCTAAAGCTGAAATAGTAGCAGGCAAACTGGGCCAGCAAGTCAAACCATCATAAACTCAAATACCTTCAAGAACTCAGTAACTTCACAAACTCAAATACCATGGTACCATCTGTGAGTGGACAGAGGAAATGCAAAGCACATCAGCACACAGAAAGGCTGCATGAAAGGAAGATTCAATTTAGCTCATCCCAAACCTATGCTTAGTATTCCAGCCATCTGTCTGGTATTTATTACAAACCATCACATGTCTGAATTGCCTTAATATAGTGGGGTACCTGAGAAATCTAAGCAGTTCTGAACGGATTATACCACGTGTAACTCTCCATAAAGAACAGATCACCCCTAAACTTCAGTTCGATAGCAAAAATTCAGTGTTAAATATGCTCAAATATTGTTCTACCAATTCCTATCAGTTTATGCCCTCTAAGTAGTGTACTGCCAGTGCCCAGAAGCAAGACAGTGATCTGTCACCAGGTCCTCAGCTGGCCATCCTCCAAACTTACTATCCAATTCTTAACTGTGACAGTCTGATGGAATCGTGGTCCTTGTGGCACAAGCATTATCCTGTGCCCATCAGATACTTACACTCTCCATCTCTCTGGCCAATTCAAACAGAAGTGCCAAAGATTCACCAGCAGCTATTCTCATGTTTACATCATCACAAGAAAGGAGGCTTGGAAGTTTATGGAAATGCCTAGAAAACAATGAGTCATTACTATATGAATGTAACCAATTATGTCAACCAAATGTTTTTATAAAATATGATGCTGAAAACACATACATCTCCAGCCTTTTCTTCCCTTCGCTGATTGGGCATATGGTCAGCAATAATGTCCACGAGAGAAGCGAGCTGATGTGGAGTGCTGTGTAAGGGGTGCTACAAACACCATTAGTGTCTTTCTCTTTGAGACAGGACTTGGTGAAGATATTTTCCAAACAATCTAGAGTCGAATACAGCTCCTAACAGAAAAGAATATGCAGTAAGATGCCCACCTTTAATTAGAAATAATTGCATGTATCTGGATCAAAGGTTTCTACTTACAGTAATGTCATCTGTGGCAATAAAAGAGCAGACACCAAAGCAAGTTGCACACTAAAAAAATAAAATTAAATTAAAAGATATTAATGATAGTTTTAAAAAAATTCTACACCTGTTCTTATAATTCTAAATAAAAATTTTCTTCACTACTTGACCCTATTAGGTTCTAAGTACACTATATGGAAAGGAGAAAAGAAAGAATTATTGGACCAGGAGTTAAGTAAGGGAAGTGGGTTTTCAGCCCGTGCTCTACTACCAAACCCACAATACTACTTTAGGAAAATGACTCTGCTCCTCTTGGGGCTTTTTATTAATTCATAAAATTGGAGGGGACAGTGTATGCAAATGAATGTCCTAATTTCTAGCATTACAGCTCCATAGTCTATTATTTAAATTATTATTTTTCTCAGTCTCCATTTAGTAAAGCATTTTGAATATCATTTCATTGTTTCCTTCTACGTGCAGCACCAATGCCTAGGATCACTTTAAACTTCAACTCTAATTCAAAAATGGAGATATAAGCTTTGACATTTGCAATAAAGAAGCCCACTTTCCCTGTTAAACACTTTAAACTACATTAAGATGGCTACTAGTTTTCAAGGTTTAAAAATACTTATATTAGCTGGGAGTGGTGGCTCACACCTATAATTTCCAGCACTATGGGAAGCTGAGACAGGAGGGCTGCAAGTTTGAGCCTATCCTAGAAAACCTGGCAATTCTGCAAATCTATCTCCAAAACAGGGGGAAGGAGGGCACTGAGGATGTAGCTCAGGGCAAAGGACGTGGGTCTGATCCCCCCGTCTCCCAAAAGCAGAACAAACAATACAAAACAAAACATTTGTTGGTTTTTATGAAGACTTTACTATGAAAACTCAAAAGACCTTCCAAGAAATAAGCACATAGAAGTGGAAAGTTCATAAAAATTAAGTAACCACCCAACTACAAAGTAGCAATTAGACAATGAGTGCGTTTCAAATCCCAAAAGAGATGAAGGTGTCAGAGGCCAGAGTTTCAGAGATGTATAGGTTGACCCAAATTTATGTAGGGCACAGCGGCCAAGGGAAAAAAAAAAAAGTGTCTAGACGACCCTTGCTTTAAATTCTAATCAAAATTATTCTATAGGCTGGGGATTTAGCTCAGTAGCACATCTGCCTCACACGAACAAGGTCCTGAGTTCAATCCCCGGTACCCCCCTAAAAAAATTCTACAATCATCCTGAACAATGGCCTTCAGGGCTGGGGATTTAGCTCAGTGGTTCTGCCGCCTGCCTCATAAGCACAAGGTCCTGAGTTCAATCCCTGGTACCCCCCCCCAAAAAAGCATAACGATCTTCAATTTCAAAGATGTAGAAATTTACTCTGTACAGGATGCTCTTTGGAGTAAGAAAATTTAAGAAAGCAACTGCCATATTACATTTATTTGCTAAACTAAAAGACAAATGTAAATAAAGTATTAATAAAACCCTATTTACGCCTGCGTGTAACATGCCTAGATAGATGCTACAAACTTGAAAATCTCACACTTACTGTTTGCCTAGCCTGGATACCAGCTGTTCCATCACAAATTATTTTCTTTAGGATTGGCCCAAGAGTCTTTAAAATCTCTTCACTCTCAATTCCAGGGCCCAGCTGAACACACAGCACAGAGGCCAACACTGCGGCTGCGCGCTGCTCGTCGCTCTTTCCTGGGGAAGAAGCCAAGATGCCATCATGCAAGTCCGCCAACACACCACTTGCTTAGACAGTAACCCCCAACTCTTTCAATTACAAAACAGCGCCTACCCTTTGTGAAACCTTCACTGTGTTCTAGGCTTGGACATAAAGAAACTCAGTGAAGCTACAGTGCTCCAATTTTACAAGCAATCAAATCCTAGATTTGTCATGAACTAGCCAAGCGACCATCACCTACTCTTATTTTCTAAGCAATTTATTCTTCTATAAAACGGAGATTAGTTCTCCTCTTAAAGGAGCCCTGTATTGGTTCAACAAAATGTGTTTCATATGTTGCTTTCTGCTTTCCAATTCCTTAAGGCACTCACTATGGGTGTTCAAGCAGCCCCTGAATAAATCTCCTAAGCATTTCATATGGACACAGCCTATAAAGTAATTTTTCCAGGTTTTCTTCTAAAACTTTAACAAAGTAAGTCAGTAAAAATAAGAGATTCTTTAAAACCACAGAAAATACATTCACATAAAGGTAAACGTAAATTAATTCTTTTGACAAGGAGTTTGGGCAAAAATACTGAACCTAGATTATCTTGATAAATTAAAAATATATAAGCAAATTGGAATGGAATTTTTTAAGTCATTTAATCCAACTGTCATTATGGGAGACAGTTTCAATATGAAATACCTTGTAGAATGCCATTGTATTGTCTCAAAAAGTTGGTTCTGCTATCAACTGTACCACTAAGTTATGTAGGTGTGGAGCCAACTCACTTTTCCTAGACTCTTCCTTACTCTGTAAAATGAGAGGGTGGATCTTATCAAGGGTTTCATTCACCACACAGCTCTCACCCTGAGGCGCGATGAGAAAAATACAGACAAAGCAAAGTTCATTCAATCTGAAGAAACTTGAGCTCCCTGGATTTTTTGGTGCTAGATTTTGTTAATAAAGTGGTAATGACAGAAAGCAATTTTGTTTATAATGTTCTTACTCGGGAAAATAAGTAAACTGATACATGTAAATCATTTTATTTACATGGTGGTTCCTAAAACTGAGGTCTAAGTAACACTAGACTTAATCTTTAAGGTGTCTCTTTATTCTATAAAGTTCTATCATCATAACAATATGAATTCCACAATCTCTACCACAAAATCTCAGAATTCAAAAATGATGTCATTTACATGTACTCTAGATGTTTTAAGTGTATTTCAAAGAAAAGGAACTACATGATTCAAGTTTAGAAATGAAGTAAGATGGGTTTTGAAATTATACTTTATGTTGACAACTGAGACTTTCAAACCTTTCTTGTATAACAAGAGGATGGCAATCACCTGTTCTGATACAAAAATGATGACAATCCAATTCCAATCCTTTCTAATTTAAATGTTACTGCACAAGAACAAAGTTCCTAACAAACTGCATCCTGAGTTCCACTGATCATCACACACCTTTTCACTGTCGTAAGAGTAGTATTCTAGTGTCATTAACAAATGCCATTGCAAAGTCCATATTAGTTCTGTGCCCGTGACTCAAAAATCATGGTGTTACCTTTTTTCAGACAGCGTTCAATGGTATCAGTTAACGTCATTCTTCTTTCCAGAATAAATTCATAGAGCATTTTCGAAGCCAGTGCATTTTTAATGCCTTCAAGAGCTGCCTGCCTTGTCTTCGCACTATTTAAGATAAATGGTAAGAGAAAGATCTAGGTGGGAGTACGTCACAGTCAATGACTTACAAACAGCTTACTTCTTTCTATCTACACATCTTCTAATCCAATTGTCATCAAGCTCTAGATATTTTTCAATAATATAACTGTAATCTACAATTTACCTAATACACAAAAGCTTTTTAAGCTGCTTTAGATTATACCATTTTACTGTTTAGCAGTTTAACAGCCATGACTAAGTGATGACATTTGTTTTTTGTGGTACTGGGGGCTGAACCCAGGCCTTTTCTTCATTTTTCATTCTGAGACACAGTCTCAATGAGTCATCCAGGCTGGGCTTGAACTTGTGATTCTCCTTCTCAGTGTGTGCCACCACAACCAACTCAGAATGCAGAGATTTTAGAAGTATTTCCTACCTCTTGTCCAAGGCTAGGTCAATTAATCCCCTCAACTTGTACTCTAAGTCTTCTTGGGTTCCTTCTTCATCAAGGACTTCTGGTCCTGTAAACAAACATCGTAAAGTAGGAAAAAAAGACAGTGACCAAGTTATAGTGTACCTTAGATCAGTGGTGGCACACCTATGCATGTGTGCCACAGTGGGCATGCCAAGGCCTTTCTGTCAGCACTCAAGCCGACTCACCCTAAATATTCAGGTTTAACTGCAGTGTTGGCACTTTGCGATAAATAAGTGGGTTTTAGAATGCAGTTTGGGCACTCCATCTCTAAAAGGTTCGCCATCGGGTCAGGGATTTAGCTCAGTGGTTCTGCTGCCTGCCTCACAAGCATAAGGACCCGAGTTCGATCCTCAGTACCAAAAATAAAGAAAGAAAAAAGAAAAGGTTCGCCACCACCGCCTGAGATGTAAGACTTCCTCCACCTAAAACATGTTTTATGTAAAGCTGCACGTGCAAATTTAAAACATACCATCTTCAGCAAAACTGGAAGGGTCACTGTAACCGCTGCAATGGCTCATGGTTTCAATCGATGCATCTTCATCACTAAAAGGTTGAATACTTCGATGCTGGCCACCTATTAGGTTAAAAGGGAAAGAAGCAGATGATTTTGTTGCTATCTATACAAATATTTAACTCAAAAATTTTTAAGTTTAAACCCAAATATATTTTTTTTAAAAGGTGATATCCCAAAAGTATATACTTAAATATTCCTAAAGTCAGTTCACCCAATCTAATCTATATATCAGAGCACTAATTACAATATAAATCAACTTTACAAATATATTAATTATAACAACACTGATGAAACAAAACCTGATAGGAGAAAAAAATTACTTTCAAACCATAATTTCAAATCATAAAGCACAATAAAATACATTGAGAAACAGAGTATTATGCCATAATCATGGTAAGAATAAGACACATAAATACATTTTCTAACAACAATGACTGGGTTTAGGAAACATTAACTGGTACCTATGTTTTCAGGTACACATGTCTTATGGTAAAGAAAACTAAAGGCATATACATATCTATGTTAAGGCAGGGTAGTTTTAAAGATTAAGAAAAAAGTCTTAAAGTTTTGGTTATTTCACATGTTATAAAAGCCTGTTAAATGACCTTTAAAAGAAAGGTTCCAGCATATCCAAGAGTTTAAAAATATCAATGGTGTTACAAAAAAAAACAACCCTTTTTTGAAACTGGAATATCTCTTGTCAACCTCATTAACTTAAGGAATAAATACCCAGTCAGGGCCGGGGATATAGCTCAGTGGTACAGAGCCTGCCTGGCAAGCGCAAGGCCCTGAGTTAAATTCCTGGTACTCCCCCCCAAAAAAGATTACCCAGTTATGAGTTAAAATGAATAATGAGTTAAAGTGAGTCCCAAACTCTGCCCTCAAAGTGACCTTGAATCAACTGATTTACCGGAGCCAAACTTCCTGCGTCAGTAAACAAAGATTTCTCCAACTATCACTAGGTCTCATGTTCAAAAGTTACACTGTTTACTACCTATTGCTTAAATCCTCCAAATTTAAGACTGTTACAGTTGGGTTATTTTTCTTTAAAACAGGGGAGTGTCTTTTTTTAATCAAAACAATTTAGCAGATTTTCAAAATTAACACAGGAAGTAGCCTTCAAATTTGCTTGCTTCCTGCCAAAGCAGTAAAATTAGTATAAAGACTATACATTGAGGCCAAGATCCTAAAATTCTTAATCACAATGCTTAGGGTAGAAATAAACAAAGACCCATGACATCATATTTATTTTTTAATCTGTTTCATGACTAGAAGTCATGGCAAGTTGAGCATCATGTGATTAATTACCACGTTTATTCACAAGTCATTTACATTTTTTTCATATTACTAAGCCTATTACTAAGAGTATTCCTATGCAGCTCTTACTCAGCTCCCTTCTCTAATTAGTTTCAATGATTTCTTTCCAAGACTCAAGAGAAATAGTTTAAAAAAAAAAAAAAAGCCAAAACCTTGTATGAATGCCTGCTATCTAGGTCAAACTCAACTTGTGATCCTATGTAACATTAATGAGGTGTCACTATAGACACATAAAGTCCTTTTTTCTAGAGGGCTTACTATCCAGATTTTTTTCATCAAATTGCTCTCTTCAAATTACAGTAGGTGCTATGACAGAGGAATGCATACTTGTATAAAAGGGCAATTGTCTTAGCTTCCTAGAACTCTCTAACTTAAAAAGAATCTAAATAGGAAATTCACTGAAGTGATAAAGTTGGTTATTTCTTTGGTTATATAGCTCAGATCTCATTTAAAACCCATTTCTTCTGGATGCCATTTAAAAATATCAGTAAGGTATGTAGTTTTTTAAGAAAATGTGATAGATTTTCATCTCTTCTACTCACTTACATTTATTGAATAAGCAAAACATTCACATAAGGCCAAGATACAGTTACAGAAAGTGCAATCTCATCCCCCTAACTTTTTCCTTCAGTTCCATTTGCAAGAGGTAACTACAGTTCACAAGTTCTATAATGTAAGCTTCCAAAAATATTCAAAGCAGATACAGTTGTGTAAACTAATCAAATACTAATTACTTTCCATTTGCTTATATATTAAAAATGAGTGCTTAAATGCTTGCACTGCTTATGCTGAAATGCGGTGTTTAAATGTATCTTTTCCATTAAAATTAATTCAGAAGGCAGCAATAATAAGGCTGATAGGTCATAAACACGTTTTGATACAAAATTTCAAAGTCAGTTCCCTCACCACGAGGCCTGAACAGTAAGAACTGTACATGGAAGGAAGGAGGCTCACCAGGAAGCTTCAAGCGGAAAGGGGGATTTAGATCACTATTCACGTTTCCATTTTCAAAACGACTACCTTGCTACGTCTCCATTACTTCCATTTCATCCACAAAAAGTAAACTCAAGAATAAAGTTAATATGGCTTTGCTAGACAGAATCCAAATGTTTATTTCTGATAAGGAAATGCTGAAACGGAGCTAAGAGGTATCCTCCATTGGCCCACAGCAAGCAGATGTCATAACTAGATTTCACATCTTGAAAAGAATGAATTTCATTAACAGGGAGAACGTTCAATCAAAATAACCATCTGGGCCAGGGATTTAGCTCAGTGATTCTGCCACCTGCCTCATAAGCGAAAAGTCCCGAGTTCAAGTTCGTTCCCCAGTACCAAAAATAATAACAATTTTAAAAAACCATTTTTTAAAAAAAGGATGTCATTTATAATCGTCTGCTCCCATTGTCAATTATGAAACGTTTAATACACTAGCACAAGTTTTGGGATGCCATAAATCCTGCAGGAAAGTTGTTTTTGTTTTTTGGTACCGGGGATTCAACTCGGGACCTTGCGCTTGAGAGGCAGGCGGCGGAACCACTGAGCTAAATCCCCGGCCCCTGTAGGAAAGTTTTTAAAATGGCTATTCTTAATCATCTTTAACAAGATACAGTAACTGGTATATTTACTTTTCTAATGAACAATGGAATATCATTCCGAGGAACTGAGTAGCAACCGGGTGGACAAACACCTAATCACTAATGTTCACCTGATGTGATAATGTTTGCGGGTGGTCTAACACTCAACTCCACAATCTCTCTAAACAATTACTAAATGAGATGACTGTATCCAGTTTAATACTACTCGATGTGAGTTTAGTGTGGCGTCTCATAGAAGGGACTTTCTAGTCGAGAATCGTTTTCTTCTTAGCTTTATGATTACTAAGTACAAATCCGTATTCAGGAAGCTCCTAATTTGCTGTGTGAATACAACAAACCCCCTAAACTTTCAGACAATTCCAATCTGGGCTCCATCACCCCTGTCTACCCAGGGCCGCCACAGACCTACAAAAGGCAGCACAAAGGACACCGAGCTCTCTGCCCCGAGCAGCGGGTCTGCTGGAGGAGGGAACAGTGGGGCTAGGGATTCGTGGCTTCCGCGGGTGCCAGCTGGGGATAGGACGGAGCACAGGGTGATGCGACGCCCCCCCCCCGCGACGCCACCGCCCGGACGCCGGACCAGGTGGACTCGCGGGGCTCGCAAGCAGGCGGCGGGACGAAAGCCACTCGCGCGTCTCTGCGCCACCCGGGTCCCTTGGTGCAAAGCCCGGGCCGCGTGACGCCAGAGCCAGCCCGAACCGGCCGGATGTCCTGCACTCCGCGAACTCCGTAATGGAGCCGGGGTTCACAGGCGACGGGACGGGTGACAGCGAGGACGCAACCCCAGCTCGGCCCCACCCTGCACCAGGGACAGAGCCTGGACAGCTGGCGGCCGCTTCCGGGGACAACTCCTTTCCCGCCCAGCTCCCGGGCTCCCGGATCCGGACATCCCAACCCAACACCCACTCGCTCCCCGCCCCGCGGCCGGCGCCCCAGCTCGGCCCGCAAGCCAGACCCGACTAGCGCGACGGCCCCGGGCACGACGGGAAATGTAGTCCGCAGCCGCTCTGCGCGCCTCGAGAGGCACACGCGCCCGAAGGGAAGCGAACTACAACTCCCGTGGCGCCCCCCGCAGGAGCCCGGCCGGCAAACCGGCGCCGGCGGCGGGTATACCCTCACCTGCCGTCGCCGCCGTTGCCGTCGCCGCGGCTGCCCCTGAGCCGCAGCCGCCACCACTGCCACCGCGGTGGGGAGCGTTCCGCTTCTTATTCTTCGGCATCGTGGGACGCCCGGTGCCGCCTAAGGTGGGAGCTCAGCGAGGATCAGCCGATTGAGCTGCACTTTCTACTCGTGCGTCTGTGCGGCGGGCGGCTGAGAGGCGAGTCTTCGGCTAACAACAGAGGCGAGAAGCGGCGGGGGCACAAGTGGGCAGCGGCGACAGCAGAAATCCCCGTGAAGAGCTGTGATCGGAAACGATACATGTTTCTCTCTAGCGCGGGAGCTAAGGCGGGGGTGGGGGAGACCGCGACGCCTTAAGTATCCAGACGGCCTTCTGACGTCACCAGTGTAAGGCGGGGGTAGAATGTTCAACAGCCAATCGCTGAAGATCTCCCCACCCGCGTCCACTGTGCCGGCACCTGGACCGTGACTCCCAATCCCATGCCGCAAGTCTGCACTCCAGGCCCGGGCCGCACTCCTCGGGGGCGCACTGGACTTTGGGAAATGTAGGCTGGGGGCGGGAGTCTCCCGAGGCCCTGCCCGGCGCCGCGTCCGCCTTGGAATGGAGCGGGCAGGTCCGCCTCTGAGCCACGCGGCGGGAAGGCGGATGACCGGCGCCCCCCTCCAGCCCGGAGCTGCACAGTCGGCCCGTGCTCCTCTTCCCGGGGCAATCTGCTTTGCCCTTTCCCCCGCCTCTGCCCGAAGCGTACAACTCCTTGGGAACTTTTCCATGGCCGCAGTTGTTGAATTAAGTGTATCGGTCATCAGTACCTATAATCCAAATCTGGTTCGGGACTGTGTTGTCCACAGTTCCCCCCAGAAAGTGTGCTTTTATCTGCTTGTGTCCTTCGTGTAGCGCTCATTCTAGACCAGAAGACAACTGGCACATCCGAAATTCAGTGTCATAGATTTTTACCCAAGGACACCTCCTTAACCCTACCTGGGATAAGAATTTCTGAGAACTTGACAGCTGGTTAAACAAACATGAGCTATAAATATCACTAATCGCAGCAGGTTTTGTTTTGTTTCACAAGGTGCTTCTAGATCTCTTGTCTTCCTTGTTCCATCTATGCTATATTTTGGGCCTGTAATTAGGTTCGCATTCTATGCTCATGACAGACCAAACTCACTGACTCACCTCAATGTAGGTGACTCATTCTCTACTACACCTCTCACCTGAGCTCCAGTCTCTCATTCTTCCATTTCCACCTATGGCACTTGCACCTCAATCTAACATCTGTAAACAAGTAGGTACAGTACTTCCCTCTTCCCCTTGTGCTCCTTGTGCTATTGTCCTCCTATATGTTCACATTTCAACACTCACGTTCACACGTGGTTCCTCTTCCCCCAAAGCTGAAATTCACAGCCTGTTCACCAGTGACACATAGCCTCAGTCTTTCTGCCCATGTTTCATGCCCAGTGATAGATACTTTGAGATTCACTCTTGTATCCTTTTTTATTATCCTCTGCTTTAATATTTGTTACAAAAATTCTGTGGTTCCCAGGTAGTGATATACTAAATACCAACCCCACTGGCTTGACCCTGACCACTTTCTGGTCTCTTCTTTCACCGTTTCCCATTACGTCTTTTTCTTCAGCTAAATAGGGTTGCTCTTCGTTTCCACTACACAGCTCCAGTCTCCCGCTTCCATTTCATCGAGCACAGTTTCATGTTCCTGTCATGCCTGTCCTCCCATCTTCACCTGGAGACTGGATCCATCTTTCCAGATCTAGCTCAAATGCTGCACCTTCTTGAAGCCTCCAGCCAGAATCCTTTCTTCCTCAACTCTTCCAGTGTTTTTCGTAAGATAGCACTTAAACACCCCACAGGCCTACCATTCAAAGGGCCACATTTCTTGATTGCTTTTACTTTGTTTAATCCTGAAGCAGCAAATAAACTGCACAGAACACGTAAGACAGGCAAGGATGCAGGTTGGTGGGCGGGGCTCCCACAGATTCCCTTGGATCTGATACAGGCCCATCTGAAACTCAGTGGTGTTGGCACAGGTTTTGGAGGAGCATAGAGCTGTAAACGCTGTACCTTTTAGAACCTCATTATCGTCATCGTGCGGAATCAGCCTGTTATATCCACAAGGCAATAATTTTGCTACTTTCTAAGTCCCATCACCAGAGCCTAATGTCTGGCTGCTAATCCTTAAGATTTGTCCTTTGCCCAAATTTGGCAAAGGTGCTGTATTTCTGCATCCTTACATGCCCACTTGGAGGCTGTTCTTGGGCGGGACTATTCAGAGCCTACCTCATCATGTATGTAGTGGTTTTACATTTATTTGTGAACACATCTGATATCTCATGAAATTATTAGCTTTCTCAAAACAAAAATCTTGCTTTCACTACCTCTGTATTCCTCATGGAACATAAAGAGCTGTTATATTTTTAATTATAGTATCTGTTAAAGAACAGTTTACAAAATAATTATTTTATAAAACAATTTATTTTTTTGAGCCAAAGTAAAAGAAAAACTATATATCATTGCATATGTGGAGTAGCTGGGGATTTTAGCTCAGTGGTGCCGCCGGATTGCCTCGCAAGCTCAAGGTCCTGAGTTTGATCCCTGATACCGAAACACACACACACACACACACACACACATCTGGAGTATAAATTTCAGCATAATGAATTCTGAGACATACTTTTGATACAATTGCCCTATCATAGTTTTATATATATAGTTTACCTCCGGATCAATACAGAGATAGCCATATGCCTCATGCAAAGGCGGTTTTCCACTAAACATACTGTTTTGCACCATGTTTAAAGGAATTACAAGACTCCAAACATTGAGTCAACAAATAATGACAAATGCAGGAAGAAAGGGGTGCTTCTGCCCCATCTCCTTAGCCAAGATCAAGTCCTGTGGCGACCCCTGGCTGAGGGTGGGCTAGAAGGCAGCTATATGTAGTTGGGCTCATTGGCAATCAAATCTGAGGTTCTGTCTCTAAGAATGAAGGGGAAATCATGGATATAAGGGAGACAACCAGCAATGTCTGCTCTGAAACTGGGAGGGAAAGTTCTGTGCACTAATAAAAAAATATGACATATTTGTTACCAACTTGACATCATGTGCTACCTCGAACCACTTAGTATTCTTTAAGATGTATTCTCCTCCTATAAAACACAATTTAGATCAGGCATAGTGGCACATGCCTGTAGTCTCAGCACTCTGGAGGCTGAGGCAGGAGCATCACTGCAAGTTCAAGGTCAGCCTGGGCTACGTAATGAGTTCAAGACCAGAAAAATAAAACAGGGGCCAGGGAAATAGCTTAGTGGTGCAGCACCTGCCTAGGCCCTGAGTTTGATTCCCCAAACAAACAAACAAACAAACAAATAAATAAATAAATCCATCTAACAGATCTCACCATTGTGATAAGTACACGCGAATGTTGCAAGAATAAATGTGACGTTAATCAGAATTTGGGGGCCCACTTAAGCTGTCCTGAGATCTGTCATTCCAAGTAGCACATACACATTCAAACGTTGCTTAAAGGGATAAACATAAGAGCTTTTCTTTGAATGTCTTCAGTCATGACCCCCTTGAGTTTCCCTACACAGCATTAAGCAGATTTAAATATCTCCACAGTCCTCTGTATAGGATTTATCAGAATCTGGCTCTGGCTTATGGCTCCCAAATCACTTCCCATCACTTAACACAGTCTGACTCCCAACAGGTTTCCGAACTCCCGGGCCCAAGTTTCTGGGCCTCACACGGCCAGCCGTGCCATTTGCCCAGCTCCCTTCTTGTCTTCCATCCCTCTTCTCCCCCACTGTACCTCAGCCACACCAGTCTTCTTTGCCAACTCAAAAACACAGAGTTCAGTCCCTGCTTAAGACCTTTGCAGCAGCTCCTCTCTCTGCCTGATCTGATTAGCATGAGCTTCCCAGTTGCCACTCAGAGCTCAGCTTAAATGACACCTCCCACTCTCCATCCGAAAGTAGCAGCCTCACACCCCACCACCACCTTGCCTCTGCTCTTCTCCCACAGCAACCTCACTACCTCAGACTTCTCTAGTTCAATTACGTCTCTCTCCTCTATGAGAATATTAGAATTATGAGAGAAGAGAGCCTGTCTACTTTTTTCACTACTTTATCTTCAGTACTGGAACAGAAGATAGCACTTAGTAGACATTCAATTAATATGACTAAAGAAGTAGGTAAGTAATTAAATGTCACTCCTCTTCCTAGAACATCCCTCCCCAAAATCTCTCCCTCGTCCTTTAAGTCATCTAAATTATCTGATTTAAACATCCCTTGTCCCTGTCTCATAATGTCTTCTCTAGGATGGCATTAATTGTATGTATTGCAATTTTTGATTACTTATCTGTTTCCCCATCAAATACAAAGTCCAAGTTGGCCACTTCTGAAACACATAATGGGTCTTTACCATCACATGTAGCACCTTTGTGTGATTAGAAAAAGAGGACACCCAGCCTCTAGGCTGGAATTCAGCCCCTGCTCTCCCTTTGCCAAAGAGCCACATAGAGTGTCTCTGTGTGTTTAAATGAGCGAAGAAATAAATTTCTTCCTATCTGAGCAGCTTTCTTGAAAGCAAAGAAACTATGGTGGGGAAAGCATATTAATGAGACTAACATGTATCAGCACTTCACACTGTCATTCTTATAGTGTCTTTTTACACATTTTCATGTAACTCACACCAACCCTAAGCAGGAAAGATTAGTCTTACCATTTTATGGATGAAGAAATGGGTTCAGAGAGGTTTTGCAACTTCCCCGAGGTTGCACCATCATTGGTAAACAGTGAATCTGTGATTAAAACCCAGGCCATCTGATACCAAGGTTGTCCTTGGCCCGCCTTTATCACAAGGCGACCTGACGCTTGTTCCCAGGAGTCATGGGTTCATATGCAGTCCTGCTAGAAAAGCCCTGTGTGGGCAAAATCTTGTCCTGTTTTCCTTTCTTTTAGTGTACCTGGACCACTACTGCCAAAATGCATGGGTTGTAGCCGGGGATTTAGCTCAGTGGTTTCGCCGCCTGCTGCACAAGCGCAAGGAGTTCGATCCCCGGTACCAAAAAAAAAATGTGTGGGTTGTTCAATTGTTGACTGCCTCATGATTATTGGACAGATTTTGATTTTTTTGGATATCTCTAAGCTTATAGAAGAATATATCAAATAGTAATGTTATCCAAACAATTTTTTTAAAAATAATCATCACCTGTTAAGTTTCAGGTTTCATTGTTTTCTTATCATGTTTGCCATTTTTGTTTTATTACCAAGAGCAGACTTTAGATATTGATTTGGCTTATAATT